TTTCTAAAATTTTAAATTCGGCAGTATTCATAAGAGTTCTTGAATGAACCAGACTATAGTTAAATAAACTTGTATAAGTAAATATATTTTTAGGAGAATATTGGCAAAAATGAATTAGTTTGCATTGAATATCTAATAAAACTAACAAGAATATGACACGTTGTAGCAAGATACAATACATTTTCTGTATTAACGGTTTGATCATGGGAATACAAGTCGGAACGCAAATGGTGAATATTGGTCATCGATCTTTTGGCTAGATAAGAACGGATTTTAAGCTTTCGCAAACTTGCTTTCGACAATTGTAGTCGAAAAGAATCGTTCGAGGCCGCAAACAAGAATATCAACGTTTTCTGTTATGTCTATAGACCAGGCCGACTCAAAAACAACCAAACAACCAAAAACAACCCCTCCCCCCTACACTCGGCAAAAACAGAGGCGGACCAATAGCCAATTTGCGAATTTCAATTCAGTAGTCAAACACAACGAATCAAGACGAGGTGTCGTGCATAAGGCACAGTCAATTGTAAAAAACTATTGTCTTCTTACGAATGACTGAGCTTTCACATGGCGCCTCGTCTTGATTCTTTTGAGTGCGACTACTGCTTGAGGCAAAATTCGCAAGTCAGCTATTTATACAGATGCTTATTGCCTGGCCGCTACTATACTATTTCAATTGGTTGCAACTATCTCGAAAGCGGGAGCACCCATGAAAATATTAAAGTAATGYATTTGGTGAAATAAGCGAATTCTATATGGATTTGACTTATGTATGATGACTTATTATCTTGAGACTGTTTTTATAGATAGTATGTTGAACTGTATGGTTTGAATTGTCTACGAATGGGTAATAAGATTGTAACACCTATAACTCGCCTTGTTTCACGTGTTTACGGCACTTTGACTAATAGTGTTTTGCGGGTTTAAAGCATCCTTACAACATGTCTAAAACTATGAATCACTTATTTGAGTACCGTACAGAGGAATGGTTGTCATGTCATGGTGGAGTAAATTTCCCAACGTTGCTAGGGTAATGACGTTTATAAGTCATTAACTCTCTTTATATTTTAGAACACGCAAACTCGTCAATTGACATGGCGTGTGTAATGAAGACCCGAAAAATTTTATTGTAGTCACGAAAATTAATCCTATAAATAGACCTAGTTTCTTACTCATCAGTTGACGCTTTTTTAAAAAGGGCCTTTCAAGTGGTGAGAGAGTTTGTCCTTTGGGAAGCTACAGCAGCTGTAGGTTTAGCCCTTCAGTTTAAGGGCATCCTCCCTTATTTGTACAGAGGCCTTAGTTTTGTTTCACGGGTTTRATGCATCTCTCTAGTTCTAACTATTTTGGACTTCTCTCAAAAATTTTATCGACATTCAATACGGACTCAATCATTATATCTTTCAACCAACGATTAAAAGATCAAATGGTTTGACGTCATCGCCACACAGTAATCTAVATATATTATTTTGATCATAGACGCATGTTACGATAAAAGTTGTACTTTTAATTAATCGTGTTTCTAACATRTTCTAACGCTAAAATTTTGTTTTTGCTATTTTCGATTTTTTTWAAATATGAATTCTTAACATAAATAAAATTTTAGACAAAACGCTCGCTCTCATTGGCCTGTTGTTTACTAAGAGTTCAGACGGTTATGGTTTGCTGCCCGCGCGTTTGAAGAGAAAGTTATAAAAACATTTCATGGCCTCTGTTCTCTTATGTATACACAGTGGGAGATGTGGAGAGCTCTCAAGAATACTCTGTACTCGCTACATTGTTGTCTGACCAATTATAATTTCCTTCTCTTGTGTACTCCAATCCCCGCCGTCGAAATATATCAGGTGTGAGAGACGCCGGCGCGCCCGTTGTGCAGTTATATTTTCAAAAAAAATTATCATSATCATCGATCGTTTTTATTTTAATAAACTAATTTTAATTAAACAATAAATAAACTAATAATAGATAAATTAATYTTAATTGTAATAAATTAATTTTATAATAATAACTTATTATGATAACATTATTATTTTAGTCTGTGTCAACACTATTATTAATCCATATAAATAGCCTGTGTACATCCGTTTCTCACCCCTCAAAAAATCCCCGATTTTTTGAGGGGTGAGAAACGGATGTACACAGGCTAATATAAAGAGATCAAAGTTTTCCCATTACTTAAAGAAAGATGAAAGTTCAAAACAACCACTGCAGATRTAATTCTTATGTGTTACTTTTCAATGTTTCCATAGTTACTTCTCTTTCCATTACATGATATTTTTTTCTCTTCTTACGCTTGTCRAACRAGCCTTATTCATGAAGTGAGTTCAAAACTTTTTATGTGTGTGTTTTTGAAATAAAAACACCCTTTAAAGTACTTAAGTAATTCTAACGACATTTCTTTACTGACGTAAAGATGTAGGCTTAAAAAGCGAGTTATGTTTTTACCGAAAAAAAACACATGGAAGATTATTCTAGATTCTATTCTTTTTCCTGTTATTTTAGCGGTGTCTTTTAACTTCCTTTTCTACGCGTTTAGAACCGAACATATTTTYATTTTTCATTCATTACTTACAAAGACACCATGTAGACAGAGCAACTAAAACTACCTGGGGTTTCTAAAGGAATGGATTAAATCTATCGATCCTCCGATGGACTTTATTATCAACAAACGCCACGTGATTCGACTTATCTCAAAATTTTCACTTATTTTTTTACCTTCCGACAGACCTTAACTCGCGRTAAATAAAACAAACGCCACTTGCGTGTTTGCATTTACACTTAGAAACTACCAATCGATCGATTTATAGTCTTTGAAAGTGTCAACAACATGCAAAATAAGGATCACCTGTCCGCATTTGCATAAAGTAGTTCCGGAGCTTCTTCTTGCGTGACGGTGATGGTGGTGTGGCACGGCACGCTGGGAGTTTGCTGTGTTACGACATGATTTTAGAGTCAAAAGTCTACAATATGACAGGAAGCTGACGCCAGGGCAGAGCTGTAAGAACCGTGGAATGCTTCTGGATATTTTCTGTAAGTATTTGTAAAAGTTGTCATTCATGTTTTTAATGTGAATTTTTAACGTTGATTGAAAAATTAGAAGCCGCTAAGCGAACCAACCTCTGAGTAAACGAATCAATAATACGACTTTTGGCCGTTAAGCACCTTGCTCTTGAGGCAATGTTTTCTTTCCTGTTTCCGATGATTATGTCTGTGATAGGAATTTAGTTTTTATATACGTAGTAACCGAAATACAGGCGATGAATTTACAATCGCGTAGACAACTAGCGTCACGCCATCTTTTTTTCACACTGTCTTTGTCCAAGCACGTATCCGCTGCTGTTATTGTTACCGACCTGTTGCAAAAGACGTTTAAAACTATACTTTTTAAACCCAATTTAAAACCCTTGTTTTTATTTCAATGCGTCTCTGGTTTACTGTGATCTGGTTAAAGTAAATTAAGCCGTAAACTCTGTGGTTTTTGAACCATAAATATAAAATAAGGGAAAATAGTAGTAATTTTGTTTATTTGTGCACGTGGTCTTTGTTCAATAGACACGTGGATTGTATGTAGTTTTAGAACACCAACCACCAAAAGAATAACTCTTGTTCAATGGAGTAGTAAACAATAGAGAAAAGACCTTATGTTGATGTGTAGTTTTTACTAATTTAGCGGCGTTCTTGGATCAATTCAAGCTTTAGTTTCTTAAATAGCTTATCATCTTCTAGAAACCCAACTTGTGGGCGTCAAAGCGATAAAATGAACTCAAAAAGCAACACGGTTTTCTTAATATCTTTATAAAAATAACAGATGCTAAAATAGATATGTAAAAACACATCTCCTACGGAGATAACCTGATATTTTATGATAGGGTTAAGTGATTATTTTTACCCGCGATAGCTTTTGCCGCGCTTTTTATCGTGAAAGCACTCTTTTGTGAACGCGCGCGCAAGTTTTACATGACTGACATTTAGCGCGGACTATCAAAATCCCGTCAAAATTCTTTCAAAATTAAAAGCTTTGATTCCACTTTTTGAAGATAATTAAATTATTCTCTTTTGAAATTTTTTGATATAACGGCGTCAATTTGTCTAAGAAATAAATAAGAAATAACTTTACAATTCCGGAAGATATGAACTCAATTTCGATAGTGTAGAATTTGAGCCCCACTTGGATAGTAATTGAAACTTTACCACACATTTTCGTTTTCGAAAACACTAATTTATGATCAATTCATAGAATGTATATGTTGCCCTAGAAACTGTCTACTGTAAAAATAAAGTCCAATATTATTGAGTTTTATCGTTATCAATGACACTTCCGAAAACAAAGTTACTCCTTCAACTCCATAAAAAACACGCTCTCCAAAAAGAAAAAAGGCCTTTAAAATCTTWACTATCTTAAAGCTGTTTATAGATGAAGAAAGATTTGAACAYCCCCACTCGGCTTGTAATTTAGTTCAAATCACTAGCGTTATTCCGACTTAATTTGTCTTTTATGTGGTGGTGAACCGCAATGAAAACTCGTAATCAAAATCACAACTTCGCAATATATATTGGACTTGGGTGTTTCTTGYAATCACYGATTCTTTGTTGGATTGGCGMGCGCTAATTCAGCCTTCTTATCGCGATCACGGAAAAGTCARTTCTAATATTCCCGGGGGTTAAWAAATGCGGAATTTCTTTTTGGRCGTCWTATCRTCAATAGCGTTGAGATTTATGTTTTTATTTAATAATTGCGAGCATAAAATGATTGAATTGACTTCAGACTTTGGCCTGACCCAGGTCAATCTTCGAACTTATATAGTATATATATTTTAATTTATTTTCTCAAGTTTCCATTGTCATTAAAACGTGCGAAAGTCATCGCTTTTAATTCAATTGGATTAGGAGCGACGCTTTGATCGCGTACTTCTCTTACATGTAGAAAATTATAATATAACTTTGAATAATTTCACATTCTTAGTAAATGTATAGGTTTGAAGGTATAACACCTTGTGTTGAAAGAAAAAACACAGTTTCATCTTGAAAAATAATTTTGAAAAATTTGTAATTGGCTCTAAATATTTTGCTTTTGGAAGTTGCTAATAAAAGATTGAACATAAAAAGAAATTTGAACAAGTTTGAGCTTATTATAGCTTCCTTTGGAGAGTGCAGAAAAACGACGCGAAACTGAGTTAATATTACAGTAATAATCCCAGCAAAGAGTCATTATTTTTTTATATTTTGCCTTTTTGAGCACTATATTTYCATCATTTCTCTTTGCTTCATGCATATAATTCCGAATTCTCTACTCTTRTCGTTTCACACAATTCCGATTTGAAAAAAATCTCATGCTTAATAAGAAAACATCAGTTCGAGACCWTTAAACACTATTTTTATTTTATTTTTATCTCTTCTTTTATAATKCTTATCTCAGAACTAAAAGTGGTTTGTCCCTTCCATTATCAGGCTTATTACYCTTCTCTTTTGAATCGAACGATTACACTTTATTGAAATAATAAACCTTGATTAATAACGGCGCCATCTTGAATTTCATCRTTAGTGAAACATTAGCAACATTAGCGGGAATTTTACAGACTGTATACAACATGTTTCGGAACAATAATAGCAATGATCAAAGTTTATACAAGTCAAGATTATCAAGAGAAAAGATATTATTTCATTCATATTTAATAGTGGTACTTTGCTAAATCTTCGGACATCACTGACATCAAGAGGCGGCCGTATTGTGACTGCACGCGATTTCAAATTGTGTTGGTTTTCCAATAACAGATCCAATGGGGTGTCCATTAGTCAACTGTGGGATCTGAACAGTCTTATAATATTATAAATATATAAAAGATGYTATTAATCTCCGTTTCAAACACTGATTTTTACGCATGTCTATAAAGTCAATGTATTTCAAAGTTCTTCAAATGAGATGTATGCATGAAAGTAATTTTCYCTACCATTGGCAGTGCGAGATGTGGCGTATGAAAGCTGAAACCTGACATAATTCATTCAAAATACTGTCGCTTAGGAAAACAGATTCGTTGATATATGACTAATTGTTGGATAAATTGATTGATTGATTGACTTTTGATTAATTGATTGATTGATTATTACTTTGATCGACTAAAAGAAGATTCTAACAAAGAAGAAAGAAAAGAAAAAAAATCGTTTCATATATAAATAAATAATTCACAGATAGGTAGTGATAAAGAATTTATGCAAGCTTAAAATCTGCCCTCCTCTCTTCTCTAATGCCCACCCCTTCAATATATGTGATGGGCGTGACGGTTATAAATGGTGAAAAAAATCGTTTCATATATAAAAATATTTCACAGATAGGTAGTGATAAAAAATTTATGCAAGCTTAAAATCTGCCCCCCTCACTTCTCTAATGCCCACCCCTTCAAGACTTTCAATCTAATGCGTGATGGGCGTGACGGGTTATAACGGGTATTACACTTGTTATAATTAATAATGACAAGATGCAAAATGCAACCACCAGACTAGTCACAATCAACAACAGAGAAATGAAATGTTATGTCTTTCGTTACAGTTATGTTGCTGTTGGGCTCTGGCATAGCTTCGTCATGTAAGTAGAGTATTTAATTATGATCATTTATTTAATATGTCGACGCCTTGGCCTCAACCCGGTCAACAACGCATAGTTTTCACACGATTTCATGTCGCGTTTATGCCATTGTACTATATTTTACACGTGGCCAGTGTCATTAAATTACAGATTGTTCCCGCTTTGCAAACTTTAGTGATTTCATCATTGAATGCGAAACTAAGTAACCTTTAGTATTCATGAACTCGAATTCAAAACTACTGTTTTTTTTAAAGAAGCTCGATTCTTGATGACATTTTTAGTACTAAGAGMAAACGGAATTAAATCAGTAAAATCCAAATCCATAAATCTTAAACTTTTTTGCAGTATTTTCTCAATTGACTTTGCTTGTTGTTATACAACTCGTTCAAAAACGTTGTCGAATAACGAAAATGTTACATATCCATTATTAATGAATTTTCAGTTTCTACATCAATGAAGTCTTGGCATGACATTCGTGATTATTTTATCGATGGTAAGAATTACCCATATTTCCTTTCGGCTGTGCGATCTCCATTACAGAGTGTTGTAATCCTTGCATTTTTTCATGTCCACTAAAACAGTCTTCCTAACGCGTTTTTGCTTTTGCCGTTGCATGTATATTAGTCAATTTAGCTTTTTCATGTATTCCCAAATCTCTCAGTCAATTGGGTAAAATTTAGGGTTGTGATTGTCAGTTTACAAACATCAACCTTGCGATAAGCTCTAGCGTTCAACTGTTGGAGTTTGTACATTTAAGAAATTGCAGTCATTTCTCTCATTTGCGTYCGTTTATTCAACCAAAGGGAAACCAGCCAAATTGTCATTAATTAACCTCGTTCCCAGACCCTTTATGGATAAAGGGCCTGGGAACGAGGTTGGCTATTAACACCATTTCTCTTTTTGCACAGGGTGTCCTAGAGTAACACATTTATCAGAATACACCGGAACTTTCTCATCTCCCAATCACAAGGACCTTTATCCTGACAATACACAGTGCACATGGTACATAACGGCCCCTCATGCCTCTCTACACGTTAAAATATCATTTGAAAGTTTTCATTTAGAAGATTGCAAGAAGTGTAACTGTGATTCGTTGACAATTTATGACGTCACGAAAGACGGGAAGAACGTCACATTAGGAAAGTATTGCGGAAAGAAAAGCCCTGGTACTTTTTATTCAAGTGGACGATATATGWTTGTTACATTCAAGTCCGATGATGGGGATAGTCGTAGTGGGTTTTTGGCTCAATATTCTACAAATGTACAACGAGGCTCAGGTCAGAATTTGAAAGAAAGTTTTAAATTTGTTATGCAGCTGTCTCAAAAAAGTTGTCATAGTGTAATGGCGATTGAACGACAAAAAATTAATTGTATAAATYAACTGCGTATTCAGTCATTCTATCATTGAAAATACAAATCAAGCAAACCACCAAGGAAAATCTTCATTTGWTGGAAACAGCCTGTCATGAGTGCTTATCGCCATTGATAATCCATACCCACAGTGACGTTCGGTCGTGCATTCGCTCTTCTCTACGACAACCTTTTTTGAAATAGCTATATATATTGTCCCATGATCGGTTAAGTACGAGATAACCGCGTTTCCGATAGGGAGTCAGTTTGCCTCATGTAAGATTGATAAACGAGAACAGACTGTGTGCCTTTAAATGTCCAATGCGCATCCGAAGCGATTTTCCCACATACGGGAAATCGCCATCTTTGATTTTAAAGCGGTCGATTTTAAAGTGTCATCAACACGACAAACAAAAACAACAACAAAAAACAACAACAACAACAACAACAACAACGAAAAAAAACAAGAACAATAAAAAACAAAACAAAAACGATCGCAAAGGTTCTTGGATACAAGTGGACCCCTTAATGCTTCATCTAGATCCGTCCGTATGATATATGCCTTTGTATACAATTAATGTAGATACATAGAATATTTCTGCTGGTAAAACGCTAATGTTGTAATAATTACTAAATTATTATATGTAATAGGACTCCATGCTGTCCAAGTCCAATTAAGAAATAATTGGACGAGGAAAATTCCGAGGACTGCCAAAAATTGGACGAGGCAGTGGCCGAGTCCAATTTGGCAGTCAGAGGAATTTTTCGAGTCTAATTATTTCTTAATTGGACAGCATGGAGTCTTATTACCTATTAATTATATAGCCACATATTGATCCCAAATAGGTAAAAGCCAACACAGCTTTTAACAATAACAGTAATGACACCTTCATTTTTAACAAAAATTAACTTTTATTTATATCAGTAACAAATCAGTGTTACAACATTTTGTCAATAATCATACATAATTTTTAAAAATTTGCAATAACGTTTATAGCAAAAACCCAATTGAAAACCTGTCCAATTAATTTCTTAATTGGACAGGATTCCAAAATTAACGAAAAATCCAGCTTTTACCTATTTGGGATTAATATGTGGCTATATAATTAAATCAATAACCCGGCCTTTGGCGACCAGTTATAACCGGACGTTTTAATAAGGTTTTGTCGTAATAACAAAATACTTTTTCCAGTTTGCAGACCAAATGGTATGTTACTGACTGCTGCTGGTGGAACCATAACTTCACCAGACTCACCAAACAGATATCCCTCCAGAAGTCAGTGCTCCTGGATTATTGAAGCTAAACGCAAATCTAGAATTAAATTTCGATTTTTAAATTTTGACATTGAGAACTGTTCGGCAGCACCTGGTCGCTGTCAGTGTGACTATGTCGAAGTGCGTGATGGGAACACGTCTAGCTCTTTTCTAATTGGTCGATATTGTGGATCTGTGAATCCACGTGAACTTTATTCGAGYGGTCGGTATTTGTGGGTTCGGTTTGTGTCAGACAATCAGGTCAACAAAATTGGGTTCGTGGCAGAGTACACGACGAAACAAAATGGTAAGTTGTGTTGTGATGATCATGATGAATAATAATCAGTAGAAGTTTGCTCGCACAAACATCCTATTAGGCCTGTTTAACACGGRGCGACATCTGGCTGATTCATTGAAAAAAAAGCAGCCAATCAGCGCGAAGCGAACATATGCTCGTCTTAACATAACCCCTAGCGGAAAAAATTGTCTGCGAAAACAAGTCATCCAAAATATCGAAAGTGGATAATTGTATTGTGGATAGATTCAGGTCTTGTCTACACGTCTCATCTCTATCATGAAATTTTCGAAAACAATCTCAACCGAAGCTGAATAGCCTCCTTCACGGTTACCTTCGCCATATTGAAAGGTAGCTGTGCCTTTGCATCGAAGCGAGACAACCGTTGAGCGTGTAATGATAGAAACATGTGAAAAATTGTCTGTAGGTGTGAAAGAAGTTTTCTATCATTGCACGCTCAACGGTCGTCTCGCTTCGATGCAAAGGCATGGYTACCTTWYAAGATGGCGCAGGTAACGTGAAGGARACTATTGCGGAAAACMCTTCGAATACGAATGCGTTTGGTTAGATTTATATTTCGCAAAACGCTGTGATGTCCACACTGTCCCTATTTCRCTGATACCATTCYACAYTTTACAAAATGTATCCAMACTTTGTKTCACTTTTTCARTAACATATATAACATCAAGGTACATTTTTGTTCACAGAGGAATGCTCTTGTCCAGCTAATTGGAAATACCCCTTTCGATGTCCAGAGATGTACTGGCGGAAAAGTAATAGTTCTTCATCAGTATGTTGCTATGATAACGGTGCGTCTTGTTGTCAAGCTGGAGGCAATCATTGCAAAGACGCGGGAGAAAATCAAAGAAGCTACTGCCCACGTCCACGTGATMATAACAAGAAGATAAAATGTTGTGTTGACAACGGGAAGCCTTCGTGTTGCTTTTCAAATGGAAATTATGTACAAATWAACAGGTAAAYCTTGTTTTGTTTTGTTTTGATATCACTGAAGGGACTCATTAGGATATCAATCGCAACACAAAATTCAGTTTTAAAAAGAATATGTTAAGATTGAACAGGCCATTTGCATGATTGCGTAAGTATGCTGCAATAACCCAGAAGTCCTTGCGCATTTTTTTTGTTATTCAAATTTGTATTCCCTTTGGAGATTAGCTCAAACTCAATTGGCACTTTAAACTACACTACAAAAGAAAGTATGTAAAGTATTCTGGTATTTGGTCGTTTGTGACGCCAAAATGTAAATTGCCTATTCGATTTAAATCAAATGAAATTTTCCCTTATCTTGCCCAGAAACCGGCTTACATTCGGTGTGGGTTGTAACTGTCACGAAAAAAAATGCAGTGTAAGCCCACATGTTTATGCTCARCCCAAATATATCCTGCAAAATCAGGATTTCTTCTTATACCCGTCATTGTGACATATCAATGAATTGCTGCTAATCATGCGGGATTCCTGTGATTTTAATTTTTGAGCTTCGTTTAACAAATCTTTGCCATATATGGAAACATACAAGATGACCAGCGATTATTGAGATGTATTTTCGCTATATTTCAAGAAAATTGCCAAAAAGGAGCGACTGCTAATCGAATGACTTTCATTGATATATCAACGGAGATGCTATCATGTTACCGGATTAATATTTTTGCGGGTTTGAATAGATATTGCATCCTCASGACTTTCGATTCATATGATACTCAGAAGTTTCCATTCCATTTKCCTTTATTCGAGCAAGCGAGCGGGAAGCCACGTCCCTGTACTCTGATATTAACAGGAACAATGTTATCAGCCAATGAGAGCGCGGGTTAAATCCCAAAAATTTTACATTCTTTGCGTATTTCACTATACGTGAAGCGGCCATCTTGGAAGAACTTCAACAAAGAGTAGAYCTAATCGGCTAACGCGTTGTCATGTACGTTACCACCCAATTGTGAAAAAGAACTTTTGTTTCTTAGAATTCAACTGTGAAATTAAGATACCTCGAACAGTTAAACTTACTCCTGGATGGTTTGAATTGGGTGGAAACATTTATAGCAACGTATGGGGGCCCATCCTGGTCAAATTAGCTTTATTTATTTTTTCCTGTTATCAAATTATTTTTTTAGTCCCTTGTAATTAATATTGCAGTGATTTTCAATTATCAATTACAGTTTAATTATTTTTGTCAAAGCTGCATTCATTTGACATGAAATTATTTTTGTTTTTGTTTTTTTCTTTTTATGTTTTAAATATTTATGTGCCAATTATTATTTGAGTGTTCGGATTATTTTTGTGGTATATTTTATTTTTTTAGTCCCTTGTAATTAATATTGCAGTGATTTTCAATTATCAATTACAGTTTAATTATTTTTGTCAAAGCTGCATTCATTTGACATGAAATTATTTTTGTTTTTGTTTTTTTCTTTTTATGTTTTAAATATTTATGTGCCAATTATTATTTGAGTGTTCGGATTATTTTTGTGGTATATTATTTTTTTGAGTGCTCGCATTATTATCGTGATAAATTGTTTTTCGAGTGCTCGAATTATTTTTGTGGTATATTATTTTTTTGGTGTGTTCGAATGAATGCAGCTTTGACAAAAATAATTAAACTGTAATTGATAATTGAAAATCACTGCAATATTAATTACAAGGGACTAAAAAAATAATTTGATAACAGGAAAAAATAAATAAAGCTAATTTGACCAGGATGGGCCCCCATAGCAACGCCTTAGGTCTATTTTTCATTAGTATAAACATACTAATGGTCTATCACTCATACTGCGTTGTGATTTGCTAATGGACTAATGGTCTAATTTGTGATAGACCACTAGCGGGAAAATCAAAATAAATAAATTCTAAATTATTTTAAGGATATTTCAATTTGTTTTCATTATTTGGCC